ACTATTCTGATGAGCTCATCCCGCTGCCTTTTCATTCTTGTTCTTGGATGATTTCGTTTGCCATTGTTTCTTTTATTTGTCTTGTGTATCTTGGGAGGTGGTTTTGAAATAAAAAGCGTTAGCTGCATAATTTGACTTGGATTTCATGTCCTTTCGGTTTGTACTTGGATTATTGTCTCGAGACTCTTGGTACGAAAAGCTGTTAAGGTTTTCTTTGTTGCATTTCCTGTGTATTCTCGCTTTCCTGGCCTGGATCCTCTCAGTTGATTGATGAGTGGATATGTGTGTGAGTTAGGTTGATAAACAATGAGCTTTTGTGCAATTTTTTGGCATGTCATTTGCGAGAGTTGGAGCTGTGAACTTGCAGTAGAAAATAGCAGAAGAAAAGAAAGCATGGCATTCGTTTGCATGCATGGAAATTTCAGAAAAGTTACATTCTAACCATTCAAGTTCCCTTTTGTTCTACTATGGCCCAACTAATCGCATAAATTCATCAATCTCGTCCTTTTCAAGTTTTAACTTTCAGAGTATGTTTTAATATGATGGTTGGGATAGATTATTCATAACTTTAGAATGAATTTGTAGGTGTAATAACTTTTTCTAGACTTATAGTTTTGATTTGAATTTTTAGTGGAATGTTTGAATTTTTGTCATTTAATTGTAAAAAATGGGGTTTTTATTCATTTCTTATGAATTTTATCATTTGATTGGCAGGTTTCACCTTAAGTCCCTAATTTTAATTTATTTCCTTTTAGACCCTTAATTCTTGTAATGATAATAAATAGACCCCTCAAAATTCTTTAATTTTTGCAATCAAATCACTATTTGTTTTAATTTCCTGAACATGATACTTTGAGTGATTCAATTTCCTGTTTATTTTTATTTTATGTGATTATTTGTTAATTAAAGTGATGCCTTGATCTTTTCTTTATTTTTGGAGGGTAAATAAGTAATTTCATTTCATTAAGGCACCAATCCAAGGGAGGTACACTTTACCCCCTATTTTGATTTTTACTTGACCCTATGTGCCCCTATGTGACTTTATGTGCTTAATTACATGCCTTTTGAATGTTTTCATTTCAGTTATTTATTTATTCGCTTTCTTTGTTTTAATTTTGTATATTTATTTTAGTTCAATTTTGATCATTTGAAAGGCATTTAAATGCCAAGTTGTAATAGTTAGGAGGTTCAAGACCTGTATTTAGATAGAATATGTAATAGTTAGGTTTATTTCATTTCATTTCCCCCCTTAGATTGTAGTTAGGGCCCCAAGTGTAATAGTTAGGATTTTATTTGCTTTAATTGCTTGTGTGTTGTCCATGCTTATGTGTTACGTGTTATCTGCTTTTTCAGGACCTTGCATCTAAATATCATGATTATGTGTTATGTGTTTATGTGATATTATGTGTTTACATGCTTTTATTATGTTTTACATGATTAGTTAGTTATAATTAATGTATGCTGTCATCACACTAGTTCAACGCTAGTCGTGGTTTCCTTTTCCGATTTTCCACTAGTCTAATGCTAGTGAGGACTCATAGACATGGACTAGTCCAACGCTAGACCCTTAGGAGCCCTTCACCCGTTAGATCATAATTGTGTGATAAGGTTACTTCATCTCATGCATGTTTTTCACTTTTTAGGGTTTTTACCATGTTGCATGACACTTTTCTTATATATATGTACATCCTTTATCCCGTATTCCCTTTTATTTATATCCCCTATTCCATATTTCCCCTTATATGTATGTTCCTTACCCCTTTGTATGAAAATATGACATTAGACTTGCATTCCCATTTAAGAATTAGAACTAGGCTAGTACATTTGCATGATTAGATAGGAAAAAACCCTCAAATATGGGATATGGAAGGGTAGATCCCACACTGATCTAGTCTCACGAGTAAATTTTGTTGATATAGAATTAAATTCTGACATTGTCAACACTGTTCTGAAAACCAAAATTAAAATGATTTTAAAGGAAAAATTGTAAACTTTTTCTCATATGAGGAATTTCCTTCTGCCTACTATCATTTCATGTTGCAAAACTGATGACTTATTTTCAAACACATTTTAACACTCCTGTTGAGCCAAGATTGGAGGATTTCAGTCCCCAAAATTTGATCATCTTTTCTATAATATTAAATCTATTGGTTCCTACTGATGGTCATAGGACTGATGCCAATAAAATGGAGCTTTACCTGTTTTATTACTTTCTTGAAAAAATTTGAATTGATTTCGGCATTGTTATGTGCAAATTCTTACTCAAAATCAGCACTGATAGCCATAGGAAACTTTCCTATGAAAGATTTTTGACCCCAATCTTTGTTCATTTTAAAATTCCCTTCACTGGCAAATTGCCAAATGAAAGTGCCTCAACTGTTTTCTCCAAGACTTATTTTGAAAGGAAAAATATGAGATTTTTTTAGGGTCATTGGTGCTACAAGAAAACTGTTTCGAAAAATAGGACTAAGAGTCGTCATGAAACTCCTGTCATCCCTAGAACTCCTCGAGATTAGTCCATGTTTGTCTCATCCTTTACTATTCATCCTAGAAGGTCATCCACTAGGCCCTCTTCATCTAACTCTGAGGTCATCTCCCTACTTAAGGATCTCTGACAGCATATTTTTCTTCTTGAGGATGGTCTGATGATGACCATATCACCTGCGCAACAAGCCTCCTTCACTACCAAAAGGAACTTGCTTGTGCCCCCTATCCCTCAAGAAAATGAGCCAACTGAACACACTTCACATACTGAATCCATCCAGAAGTTCATGCTTCCAGTTCTCAGCCAAAGGATAAGGGAAATGCTCCAGCAACTGAAGACAGTAATGATGATGAGGAGACTGAAGAAGAAGAAGTGGATCTTGCTCAATTTCGCCTAACTAGGAGACGACATGGATCGTCCAAGATCACCATCTAGGCACCCTTAGGAATTTGCACTTCATCTTTAAGATAGCACTTCATAGTGGACATTAGCATCTTTTGCATTTGAACATTTCAAGTACTCTGTACTCAGAATTCTGCTATTTGGTTATCTTTGTTGGTTTGTTATTTGGTTAACCTTTCCTATTTTGATCATTTCTAGTTACTTTTGTGGATAATCTGTATTTGGTAAACTCTGTTTGCTTCTGGATCTATAAGTGCTGAATGGTTGGTATATCTATGCTTGCTGCATTGTTGTGCCTGTCAACTGTATTTCTACTGTTCTGTTTGCAATGATGCTGGGTATTATTGGTAAATCCTCAATATATGATTTCTGGATTAACTGGCTTACATTAACTGAACTGATGCTATTGGTTGCTGTATCAATTAATGATGACAAAAAGGGGGAGAGAATGGATTTAAGAGGTCAGGGAGTGTAATCTGGTAAATGCGTGAGGGGGAGTTATTCTGAGGGGGAGTAAACTACTTACAAATCGTTTGGATGCATCAAGTGAGGGGGAGTTTCTTTTTAATTCAATTTTTTCTCTCTCTTCCATCCATTGTTTTTCATCATAAAAAAAGGGGAGATTGTTAATCATTGTCCATTACTTTTGATATTTACAAAACAAATGGATGTTACTAATATCTCATCAAAGATCTTTTCAACAATATTGCAAATCAGGCTCAAACATTAAGTTCATGTTGATAGAGACAAATGAGCACTGAAAGCTGTCGGACGCTCATAAAGCTTGGATTGAACGTCCGATAATCATTGCTCAACTTCGGACGCATGAAGAACTTCACTATCAGACGTCCGAAAGGATATGAGCATTCCCTCTAGCTCACCCACCTCGATCGGACGCAAAACATTAAAGCACCGGACGTCGATAAACAATGAATCACTTCGGACGCAAAAGAATTGTTGGTACTGGACGTCCGAAAGAATTGAAGAAAAACTCTTTTGCTCACTGCCTGTTGTGGGACGCAAAAAACAGAACTACCGGACGTCCGACACTACCAACGGATAGTTGACTTTTCAGCTGCTTTCTATCCGTTGGACTCATTAATGAATGAACTTTTCAACCTCATATAAATTGAGCAAAGTCAACCACTTCAGTACAACTTTGCACATTGAGATTACATCATATCAAGAGTGATTGTAGCAAGAAAATACTCTTCAAGGAAGATTTGTACTTTTAGTTGTATAAGTTTCATAGAAGCTTTTCTTGTGTGAGAAAATTATTTCAATAGTGTAGCTCTGTGAGGGGTATCCGAGTGATTGTAAAACTTCCTAACTTGACTAATTGTGGCTTGGGCAAGGAGGAAGTGATTCTTCCGTTGTACACAATGATTGGTTGTAATTGATCAACTTGAAGAAGTTTGCTTTATAAAGTGATATTCAAATTCAAGAGGAGTTTGAAATCTGGTTTGCTATTCTATCTCTTTCATTTACTATCTTGCAATTTAAAGTGATCATCTCTTCTACTCACGAGCATTCGTGTTTTCTCATTATTTGTTCCTTTGTGCGGTCATCTACAAAAGAGGGTAAATTTCATATTTAACCAAAAAGGGTCTCATAATTTTGTTAGTTTTTAATTAAGCTAATTCACCCCCCTCTTAGGTTGTCTTCGATTCTTACAGTGGTATTTTTAGGTCGGATATAAGATTATTTTTTTGGTAAATTCAATTAAAATTGAGATGAAATTTATTTGTTTCAACTTATAATTTTAAAAATTTTTATTTTTAAAAATCCAAGTTCTTTAAAAATATTAAACTTTTCATCATATAGAATCTTAAATTAGTTCAATGTACGTCTTATTTTGTACACATATATATATATTTATATAAATTTTTTTATAAAAAATTTATTGAACCATAATTGAACCGATTCAATCGGTTGAATTTCGATCCGAACATTTTACTGGTTCAATCAACGATCCGAGTTTCAAAACATTTGTAGTATATCCTTTATTCCCCTTCTTTTTTTTTTTTTGTGGTCGAAGTGCTAGGGTTAAATATTTTTGCCTTCGTCCAACCTTTGAAAAACATTAGCAAGGTGAATGCCAACTGCAAACATGAAGAACGCTTGAACAAACTGTATGATGAAACCCATTCATAATGCTTTTTTAGCTACTATGGGATTTAATCGATGGGAATGAAAGTAATTAAAAAACGCCTTTGTGATTCCCCACCCATCGCTCCACTATCAAATATCGTTAACCCTCTCATTAACACCACTCTTAGGGATTTAAAAATAAAAATAAAAAAAAGATCCCTAAACCGAACCCTTCAGACTCAATGCTCTCATTTCCTCTCAAAGGAGCTCTTACCGTCGCTCTTTCCCCGTCAACAACTACCTACCTATCCAATCTCCGGTGGTAGGTTGTCTACTAGTAACCTTATTTTCCCTATATTTTGTTCCTCATAAGAGTTTTTCCCCTATTTTTTCCAAATTAATTATCAGATCTATTCGGCAGCAACATCCTTTGGATTTTCAACTCTGCCATCAGTGGTGCGTTTATCTTGAACGGTAATTGATTTTACCTGGATTGGGAACTTTTCTTTGTTTATTTTTTTAATTTCAAAATTTTTCATATTTTTTCTTCTAAAAATTTTGTGAGGATTCACTATACTTATGGTTGAAGGACATCATAAGAACTCCAATCATTATCGGTAACTTCTTCATTTTTTTTTTCAAGAATCAAGGACATCATCTTTCTGGTGGTGTTTTATCAATTGTGCAAAGTAAATGAAACAAAGAATTTTTCCCCAAACTTGAAGGTGTATTCCTACTCTTTTCTAACTTGTTTCGTTGAATTGAAGTTGTCAAATAGGGTTGTGTTTCTATTAGCAGTACCACTTGTTTTTTTTTTAACTACTTTTGTGATTTTTTTGTCAAATTTTTTCTGTTCAAGTTGGGTTTTAGAGTACCATTTCAATTATAGGTTTCGTTTTTTCTTTTATTTGAAGGTTTTTGAATTATATAGTTTAAATTTGATTATGATTGCTGAAATTTGAATTTTGGACTGTAGTTGATAGCTAATTGCATAATTAGTTTCATTTTCTGTTGTTTTGTTGAAGTCCATTTGTGCATTGTATCCTTCCATGGTAATATTTTCCATAAAATTGGTCTTTGTGGCTCATTGGATTTACTAGACTTTGTCAGGTTTTACATGAACATAATACTGTAACAGCCTTACCGAATTTCTATCTGGCTTGAACCAAAGCCTGCTCTGGGTTATCAAGAAGATAAGGCACTGTTCTCCAAAGCCAGCTTTGGATTACCAAAGCCAGTTGTTGTGTTTTTATGGTGCTAATTCATGATTCTTTTTGAATTATGTTCATGGAGGCTGCCTTGTAATCTGGAAAACATAGAAAATGCATAGTTGTACTTTACATTGTATGTTTCTTGAAGCTCTTATAATTGTATGTTTTTGTTGGCAGTCTTTTGGCTTATTCTGTGGCCACTGAACAAACTTGTGGAATATTCTGATATAGTATGCGTGCTGGAAATAGCTTGATTAGTTCTTCAAATTTAGGTTTCCTTTGGCATTTAGAATCCCTGGATTTAATGCTAAAGGCACATGCTGAAAACACATGGATCCTATTAAAGGCCACAAACATAATGGTCCTAGTGGGAGATCTTTTTTCTTTTTTCCCCCCTCTTATGGCAGAGAAATTTTTTCATCTTCTACCAAACTCTTTCTCGGTCATATTGCTGCTTTGATGATTTCTCAGCTGTCCATTGAACTTTGATCCATTTGCAGATAAATCTTTTAGTATTAATTGCAGTTATCATGGGATTAAAATATTAATGTGGAATGGTTTTTACAGTGCATCACAAATACAATGTTTATTCCATCCTTTCTAATTTCGTTGATCAGGTCTTTTCAGTGAGAGAGCTATTTATATAAGATATCACCTAGTTGCAATTTTTCAACTCCTTTATGTAGATTGGCACATTACAATTAATAGGATCACAAGCTATAAGCAAAAAATAATAATGATAATAATAAGTAGATCTTTTTCCTGATGTGATCAAATTCAATATCAAAGTTGCAGCATCATTTAGTTTTTTTAAACCTTACTAGAAGGTAGAAAACAGTTCTTGATTGAACTAGTGCTTTCTTTCTGCTGCTAGGCAGATTTGTATTTTGTGCGCTCAATAAGTATTAATTTTAGCACGTGGATATGTCTACCATATGTATCTAACCTGATAGGAGAGTTTCAATTGGTCATCTTCTGCAACAGCAACATCTGTTAATATTTAGGTTAATTTGATGGTTGATCTTGATAGCTAAAGAGAGAATATCTTAAAGCTATATACTATTATTGAATAGATTGTGATTATTTGTTATGTATATTTACAGTTTTTAATATAGCATTAACTAAAGCCTTTTTATATAATTTCTGTCGCTCTTGTTCTTGGGTCATATCGTTATCCCCTATCCTTGAACTCTATCATTCAACTGATGCAATGAAATAACTAAACTTGTTTAATAAATGAATTCATTTAGGAGACAAGGATTGAGATAATTAACTGCTTGAAAAGCTTGTCAAGCATTCTACTGAAGTAGCATTTATATCTAGACTTGTTCTCTTGTCAACTAAAGAGGAAAGGAAATGTAAAGTGTAAAAAAACAAAAGCTTATGTGGATTGGATTAATATGTAGACCAGGAAGGGTAGCTTTTGTTTGACTTTGGTTTCTTGAAGGGCACATTTTAAATTTATTCCTATATCAAGTTTTAAGGATTCTGAAAAACCGGGAAGAAACCATTAATGAAGTAAAGGAAATGGAATTTTTTTGCACTTTGTGACAACTAGAAGTGATAATATATTGATATTTACTATCCATGAATACCACAAAATATGATTAATGTGTTCTTGGCAAGAACTTCTTTTGAATGCTATGTTGATCTTGACACACTATTAAAGTTCAATTCGTACAAGATGACATTTGTTAATCCATGTGTCTTTGGCTAATGTACCTGTCATTCCCAATGATCCTCTGTCTTCTATGTAAGGGTGATTCTATGAGCTTTTCTCAAGCTTGATTTCTATGTATTTCAATAGATATGTTTGTGCCCACCCCAGTCAAGATAGAAATCTACTTGAATTGTTTGAGTCTGATTTTCAGCGTGCTTTTGGTTACAAAAGGTAATGCCATACTTAAAAATCCAGTTTTTTGAGCTTTTTCCTTAGACAGACACTTTTTTTTTTTGCTGTGTTCTTTCAGCAATTGTAGTTGCTACGATAAACCTTCTAAAGTTGGTTCAAAGTAGATTTTAAATCTGACATGATCAATATTCTTGGGTCATTTTGGTCTCTATTAAACTTTTTTGCTCTCTAAATTACTGAAATCTTGTTATTTTCTTTGTACATTGCTAAGTTTGCTAAATTATGTGGAGTGCTCTGAGGTTGTTTTACGAACTTGCGCGTTGTTTTAAGGAAAATCCAAACTGATCACTCCTCTTGTCTGGTTTGAAATCCTTTGAGTTGCTTATTTGGTACCATCAGATGATGTTTACTTGAATCATTGAGTAAAACTGACAATACTCCTTTGCAAAGGAAATATTACTTCTGCATCTATAACTCTTTTGTCTTCATTTTTTTTCCTGCCTTTTAAGCTCAAGATCACTTTATTTGCTTTTTGTAACTTTTCTTTAGCAAAATTTATAACATTCAGAAACTCATCTTATAGTGAATTTGCTGAAACTCAGTTCAGTTTCCGAATGGTGTTTTTGTTATTTTATCCATGTTATTATGGCTTTTTAGTCCGGTTCTGATCTGGCTATGTTTTTTATGAATCTAATCTTGTTCATGTCAGAAGGTACCACCAATTGAAGTGAGGAAAATAATTGACTTTTGTCAAACTCCAAACTAGTCTTATAGACTTATACAATGAATTCTGAATGGTCAAAGATAGGCGTACCAGCCACTGGATAAGACATATTTGATTTAAGCCATTTTCTGAATTCTGAATTTTTATTCTTTCTTGTCAATAAGTTTTGTCGTTTTTGGCATCATTGTCTAAGTTTCATCTTAGAGGCTTGTTTCTTGTATTTTCCTCTGATTAGGTTCTGAATGGTTCAATTGGTACTTGCTAAAACAGTGTCTGATTTCCGTTTCCTTTTACTATGTGCACAGAAATGGCACTGTCTTCTCATTTCAAATTCCACATCAGTCCAAAGCACAAGGAGTTTATTTGGGTGTTGTTGAACGATATGGGAGTTCATGACCTTTGACCAATTCACACGGGGATTTTCTGTATTTTACCCTTTTAGTAGCCATTCCCCGAAATAGAATCCTTTGATCATCAAGACCTGAAGCAGCCGCTAATCAACCATGGCTGCTACCATCCTAGCCGATGATGATGATGATGACATAAACCCCTTCACATCCATAATGCTGCTCGCCCCTACATGCCAACCACCAAAACCAGAATCAGAAGAAGACCACCAGAATCAGAGCCCATTATCATCATCCAAAGCTGGAATAACTAGTCAACAACTTCTTGACCAAAATAACTACTACCTCCACTCTGTCAACTCCCACCTACTCATCAGACAACTCCCTTCTCAAGGCCTCTCTTTTCAGCTCTGGCCTGCTGCAACCACTCTCGTCACCCTCCTTGATACCCACTCCTCTCAATCCACCATCCCCAACCCACTTTCCACCTTATTTAAAGCCCAAGAAGACCGTCCCCTCAACATCCTGGAGCTGGGCTCTGGCACCGGTCTTGTTGGGATTGCAGCTGCTGCTCTTCTCTCTGCTAATGTCACTGTCACAGACCTCCCTCATGTGCTATGCAATCTGCATTTCAATGTGGAGGCTAACTCCAAACTTCTTCAAGTCAACCAAGGTGCAAAAGTTAACATAGCGGGGCTTTCCTGGGGAGTGGATGAAGACATGAAAGCTGTTGGGAAGGAGTATGATTTGATACTGGGGTCTGATGTAGTGTATCATGATCACCTCTACAAGCCCTTGATTAAGACCCTGAGGTTCTTCTTGTTGGGGAATGATGACGGCAGCAAGAAGAAAAGGGTTGCCTTTGTGATGGCTCATTTAAAGAGGTGGAAGAAGGAGTCTGCATTTTTCAAGATGGCTAGGAAGCTTTTCGATGTTGACATTATACATTCTGATCCTCCTTCCCATGGCGCTAGAGTTGGAGTAGTAGTGTACCGAATGGTGGGGAAATGTTTTCTCAGCGTCAATTCTGTCCCTAGCTAAATATTTGAGCGAGGAATTGAAGAGAACATTCTTGAAATTTTGAGAAAATCTAGAAGTTTGTCATGCATCAAAAACTTTCCAGGGAAGATTTTAATATCTTTGTTAATGTATTTTACTAAATTGCAATCACCAGGGTTTGAGTTCACTAACTTGTCCTTGATCAATTAGCGTCTCAGCATAAACTTGAGCAGAAATAAAACTTGCTTAACTAGAATGTTGAATGTTATTATTGTAAAACAAATAGTTAGCACTTCTACCCGACCTCGTGACCAGATCGTATCATGCCCTTAGCAAAACAATGCACTCAAGATTCAAATACTGCAGTATAACGCCAGAGAATATCGTTTTCCCAGGTACAAATTTCTATGAACATTTGTCTGGCTAAAGCTTTCCATGTTCTCTGAATCCCAAGACGGATGAAAGCGCACAATTAAGACACCTAGAGGTTTGGAAGAGGAGCAGGAACAATCAATCGTTCTTGACAGTTCACGGTCATGATTTGGTCAAAAAAATTTGTACGGTCCAGATTTTATCTTGTATCTCATTTTTAACAATATCTGTGGGACCTACAAAAATTTATTTTAGAATTACACGTTGTTAAAAATAAGTTACACGATGTGCAAACAGAATTACGCCGTGTACAAAATGCACATAACCTTCAGGAACGGTTGCTGTGAGGACTCGCAAATTTCTTATATTTTTCTCAAAAATGCCTTTTTATTTAGAAATTATTCATTTATTATAGCCCTACTACCTAATCATTCCCCAATAAGTGCAAATGAATCTAGAAAGTAGGGTTTCACTTTTCGTTTTCAGTTGGAGCAAGTTAGGGTTTTCGCGATTTTCCGAAGGATGATTTTTCGGTACGGAGCAAGGATTCAAATTTGGTGATTAAGAGTGACTTTTAGGTGAGAAATAATATGTGATTAGGAACCATGATAAAAAGTTAGTGATTGGGAAGAAAAAATCCTAGTACGTGTGATTTAAGAAAAAACGGTGCGAACCGACGTGTACCGCGCACTACCGATTGAACGCACCACTGGACCACAACTTTCTTACCACGTGAGCTCATTGATATTTGAGCAAAATAACCCCTCATTTCCAGCTGCCTTTGACCGAAATTTGTGGCCACAAATGCAAGGGAGAGAGAGAAAAATTTGCATGGCTTTGGTGGTGCCAAGTGTCACCACCTCATGGCTCCTTGATTAATTTTTTTTTTCTTGCCTTTTTATCCTTCATTTCAGCCATCTTTCTTCTTCATTTTTTTCTGGTCTTGGCCGAGAGAGAGAGAGAGAGAAAACCCAAGAGAGAGTTCACCATTTTTTCTTGAAATCTAGTCACCAAGTGAGGAAACAAAGAAAGTAAACCGATTAAAGTTATCTTTGAGTGTTGGTTTAGTGAGGTGTTGGTGAATTTTTGAAGGGGAAAGCTAGGGTTGCTCTTGGTAGACACTAAGCAAGGTAAGGATGATGATTTTTCCAATTCTTACTCTTAATATTGTTTAAATTAGCTTAGTGGTGAATAATGGTTGTTATCATGTCTTGGGTGTTGTTTTTCCTTGTGGATACATGAATTAGGGTTTGATGAATTGCTGCCAAACTTGATGTATGGTTAATATATGTTGTATCCAAGATTGTATAGGGGGCTTTGGTAGCAAGTGAAGCAAGAAATGAAGAAAGTAACCAAAAATTCCAGATTTCTGGAAAAAATTTCACCCTGTTCTGTCCGGTTCCAGTTTGTATGGTTAGAGGCCGAATTAGGCTTGTCATAAAACATGAAAGTTGTAGAGAATAGTATTTTATAGTTGCCTACAAAATTTCAGCTCAATCAGAGCAACGTAGCCTGTGAAAAGACCAAAATACCCTCGCTGCCCTAGATTACATTTCAGTGTTCCGCGTAGACAGTTCAGTCTTTTGGCTGTGTTTATTCGCCATAATCCGTACGAATTTATCCATTTTCCAAAACATGAAAGTTTTAGTACTCTGTTTTAGCTTTTTAACGCCACCAAGAACACCTTAAACGGATCTTGGTAGACTGAGATATGGCCATTTGAATGCAGTACGGTTAAATAGCCGATTAGTTGGAATTAGGTTATGTGAATTGGGTATTTGATTAGGTTACACTGGAAATTGGACTAAGTGATCTTCATGAACATTGGAACCCTGTGTCTTAGCTTCGAAAGGGTACAAGTTGCACCTCAATCCGATAACTGTAGCCTCGGATGTGCCCATTCCGCAAGAGCCCGTCAAAACTGTCTTTTGTAAACTTCATTTCCGCACTCGATATTAGCTTAATTTTTGTTCTTGTCTTGTTTTGAGCCTACGGAATGGCTATTGAAATAAAATTGTGTTATGGATAACCTTGGATTTGATTGAGTAAGCATGAAGCCATAAATGGCTGGAAAATAGGAAAATACAAAGGGCATGCTGCCTAAATTTTCGCTCGAGTACTAAGTTTCTATTTGAACTGGTATACTTACGTTTGGTCTATGAAACCCTAGTCATTTTTGTACACCGGTCCAAATGTCCTCGTTTCACTTTAAAGTCTTTTTGTACGTTCTACTCAATAATTGTCGAGTTTCTTTGATTGCACCTAATTGTTGTGCTAGATGATCTGTAATATTCTTTCTCGTTTAATTTAGGTTTTCTCGGTGACTGAGGATAATATCCGGAAGGATATTTTACCCGTTGTTTTGCTTACATAGGTGAGTGTTCCTTGTTTGCTATATTTTTCTTGACTTCATGACTTGTGTTCTTGTTTGATAATGTGTTAAGTGCTTTCAAGGATTTCCAAAACGAGTTTTCTAGGCGAACGTGTACTTTACCGCACTCGAGCAAAATGAAACATGAAATTTTCAATGATTAAATGTTGAAATACTAGTTGCGCATGAATGTAAGCCTTTTTGGCTGAACTGGGCCCTTGCCCTTGTTGCCGATCGACTCGAGCCAGAAGCGGACTCGGTCGGGCGATTTGGTGACCTGGGTGAACGTTTGGTATACTCGAGTATTACCTTGTAGTCCGGCCACGTCCGGATGGGTGGAGTCCGGTCAACGTCCGGAAGGGGATGAATGAACGAACGAAAGCACGAGGGTTTTACTTCCCAAAAAGGAAATTTTCAAATAATTGGAGGAATAAGGGAAAATGTCAGGGGAACGAACGAACGAACGAATAGTTCCATGTGAGCTCGTATCCTTTTAATGAATGTGTTACTATCGCTTTCCATTGTAAAAATTTCTTGAATTATTGATACTCCATGTTTAACGTATTGAATTGACTATCTGACTATGTGTTCGGAACCTCACTGAGCTTTTAGCTCACCCCTTTAGTTTTGTTTTCCTTAACAGGGGACGGCGAGCAGGATGAGAGCATAGACTAGCCTAGTCTAGTTCTTTTGTTATTCTTTGTAATGGTTCTCGCCCTAGTGCTTGGCACGGGCTGGACGTATGAAGGATTGAGAACCTTTGTATATTCGATCTTTATACTCTCTTTTGGGATGACAATATATATAAGTTCCGCTTTAAGTTTGGATCGCTGCCCTATTTATTCTTGTGATTTATTCCGATTTTAATTGAGGACTGTAGTGAACGACTGAGTCCTGGCGAGAGCTGGGCAGGCGACCCGCCGAACCCTGGGGTACGCCCTAAGGGGAGGTGGGGCCGTCACAGTTGGTATCAGAGCTTAGGTTTCAGATCTCTGTAGTGTATCCTAGGCTTGAAGTTTAGGATGCCGGACTGTGGGATTCGATTTGACCTGAAAGTTAAGCGATTGAGGGAGAAAACCTATAGTTGCTTCGCGTGGTCTCTGCGCGGAGTGACCCTGGACTAAGTGGTGAATAAGTATGAGGGACTAAGTGAAGCTATGAATTGCGAATGTTATAGGCCTTAAATATTTCTCATGGTATCTGAGGACCATAGATAGGTATGTCAGGCAGGAATTCCGATTGTAGATTGTTTACTCTTGGGACTGCAGCTCCAGATGTGAATTATCTTATTTCGAATTCTCGTGCCTGAGTACTCTAGAGTTGCGGCGCTGCTAAGGATTTGAGACTTGCATTTTGGGAACATGAACAGGCTTTGTCTGACTAGAATGAGCACAAGAGGTCAGGGACATCTAGTTTGGATAGTAAGTGACGTGAGAGACCGGACGGGCTGATACTGGGACGACTTCACCTTTTCCTTTTGATTTACCTGTATATTGTTACTACATGACGTTAGTATACCTGTGCGTACATGGTTATCTGTCCAACTTGATATGTATTTGTGTATTTGCTTATCCGTCTTCTTGATATGGCGTGTTATGTGCGTATATGTTTATTTTTGTATTTGGAATGCTAGAATTTGTTACTGTAGTCAATTTACTGTGTTTATTTACTTAATTACCTTTTGGGGAAAAAGAAAAGAAAAGAGAGAGGGAAAACATATATATGGATGGGAGGCGTAGTCGTGGACGTGGAGCTAGTCGTGGCCGTGGAGCTAGGCAAGCTCAAGAACCGAGAGAAGAAAGAGAAACAGTGGCCGAGCAAGAACAGGGACCGAGGGTTGAGGCTGGAGATCAAATGGCGACGGCGATGAAACAAATGACAAATATCCTGGCACGAATGGTAGATCAACAGGGTCAAATGCCAGTGAATCAACCCTGGAATCCCGAGATCGGAGAGGATAAGGCTCTTGAGAGGTTCCAAAAGTTTCTACCTCCGAAATTTCAAGGAGGGCCTGATCCGGATATAGCTGAGCAGTAGTTGGAGGCAATGATTAATATCTTCGCGGCTTTGAATTACACGGAGTAAAGAAAAGTAAATTTTGCTGTATTTCAATTCGAAGGACCAGCCCGCGCGTGGTGGAATGTAATTAAGGCCAAGTGGGAAAGAGAACAGACGGTATGGACATGGGCGAACTTTGTAAGGGAATTTAACGAAAAGTATCTCCCACCTTTAGCCCAAGAAAGGAGAGAGGACGAATTTATTGGGTTGCGTCAGGGAACCCTAAGTGTGGCCGAATATGAGACCAAATTTACTAGACTGTCTAAATTCGCTTCTGAATTGGTGGTTACAGAGCGACGGAGAATAAGACGATTTATACAAGGACTAAATTTGAAAATCCAGGAGGCATTACCGGCAGTTCAAGTTAATACGTTTACAGAGGCTCTT